TTGCCGCAATGCGAATAATATTGATATTGTTCACACAATGTTCATACTACAAATAATGTCGTCCAAATCAAAATCAGTTTATGACAACTGGCATTAATTGTTTTGTAAAATGTATTTCACGGAGGAAAAGGGGTTTATAATAAACAACATTTACTGCGGAACTAGTTACTCTAGTAGGCCATATTTGTTTTCCGTGCATTTTAATGAGCGTCTGTGTCAAAAGCTATTTCAATCCTTTCAATCAATGATCTGCAAAAAACGTTTTTCCCATGTTCATTTTATATGTTCGGTTTTGAAATATTCACCTGGTATGTTGCCTCCACACCAACCAACAGCCCATTTCTTTGGGGCCTTCTTTCCAAAACATGCGGTAGTTATTTCTGACTTAAGGTCAAAGCAGGACAAGGCCTTCCAAAAATAGAAATTAATTCAAGTTATTTACAAATCAATTTGCCAACTATTCAAATTTGAATTCAGTTATAATGAATTAATCCACAATTCCGAGCAGCATTCCAATAGGAATAGATGAGGCGTACAGGATCAAAACCGGACATGTCACATGATTATGGTTTTCCAAAAAACGGAATAATCTGTCCAGTGGATTCGAATCATAAAAATTCTTGGTTTGAGTTGCAGATCTACCCAAAAACCCAAAAAAATGATACTTACTCAAGAAACAATAAGAATATTTTGATTATTAAATGAGTTATTAATTAATTAAATTAGGGTTTGGTCGAATTTGCACCCAAAATGTGGACATGTCTGGTTCTGAAACTAAATATGACGGATTTTTGAGTTACAATACCTATGCTTATTTTTTCAGTAAAAAAAACTAACGCAATTGCAACATAATCAAAAATTTATTAAAAATGAAAATAAATTTTATATAAAAAAAGCACAAAAAAGGGGCCACGCCACTTATATGCAAGAAACTTCCTCAATAAATTCATGATCACATGACACAATGCCAGAACGTTATTGGTTCAAATGGACATATCCGTTTTTGTATCAGAATTTCATGGGACATGTCCGCTTTTGAATCTAATGAAATCTAAAACACGCCTCAATGTACAAAACGTATATCTCACTTCATTTTGTTAAAATATGTGACATGTCCGGTTTTGATCCTATACGCCTCAGATATAATGACCGGTTTATTTATTATTTTGCGGAAAGGGCTCTTGGTTCAAAATTACAATTACATATTTTAATAAAATGTTTAAAATCATACATTTTTCAAAAATGCTTAATCCTAACTGATTTAATTAAAGTGGAACCTTTTTTTAAATAATTCATTTCGAGCAGGAATAAGCACATTGACACCGTTGTTTAAGATTAAATTAATATCACTTTTCTATCCGCAATGCAGTTCGTTCCTCGAGAATATTGGGCTTCGGAAATCCTCCTGCGTAATATTTGTTCTGTGCTATTCGCCCTAATATCTCGCTCTGGAATATCAATTTACCCTTCCCCTCCATTTGTGTGAAAATCCTTATTAATTATGTTGGAAAATAATAAAGGAAAATTTCGCATTTCACTCCTCTCCTTGCGAAGGGAATTTTTCTTTGAGAGCGAGGGCGAATTTATGTAGCCGAAATAATGCAAGAACCAGTCCTTTTATGAATATAGGACGCGATTTTTAGCGCATTTTTGCAAATTTATTTGTAAAAAGTAGCTTTTAATCTCACTTTGGCTGGCTGGATGGCTGGCTGGCTGGCTGGCTGGCAGCACATGTGGGCGCGTAGAACAACTCTTGTAGAAAGGCAACGGGTGTACGTGTATCTACAGGGCCGTGAAATTTGTCAACCTTAGGGACATGGCTACATGATGTGGGGTTGGCGACATCTGGGCGTCATCCTCGAGCGTAGTATACTAACGTGAAGGTTTTTCAGTTTTTTCCTATCTTCTACTACAGTTTTGGTCCGATTCTTTTGAAATTGGTGTCGTCGGAAAGATGTTGTAAACGCGCACAACTCCTGCGTGGCGGAATTTTGTTTTTTGTCCTAGGGGCGAAATTAACGACCTTTTGCGAGGCGCGCGCGCGCGTCTTCGAGAAGTAGTCAACTTCGGGCGCCTTTTACCTTCCGTTGCGAACTCACGCGGTTTAACGTTTCGTAAATCTCGAATCGCTGTCTCTCTTTCTCGTGTCGCCAATAGAAGTGAATTGCGAGTGAACGGGACGTCGGAAGGGGGTACCGTCAACGGGAATGTGGTAGCCCCCGACACGATCTTCCTGATGGTGGAGTCAAATCTTCAAACGCGAATTGAGGGTGAACGGGACGTCGGAAGGGGGTACCGTCAAAGGGAATGTGGTAGCCCCCGTCACGATCTTCCTGATGGTGGAGTCAAATCTTCAAACGCGAATTGAGGGTGAACGGGACGTCGGAAGTGGGTACCGTCAAAGGGAAAGTGGTAGCCCGCGACACGATCTTACTGATGGTGTAGTCAAATCTTCAACCGCGAATGGTGGGTGAACGGGACGTCGGAAGTGGGTACCGCCAAAGGGAATGTGGTAGCCCCCGACACGATCTTCCTGATGGTGGAGTCAAATCTTCAAACGCGAATTGCGGGTGAACGGGACGTCGGAAGGGGGTACCGTCAAAGGAAATGTGGTAGCCCCCGACACGATCTTCCTGATGGTGGAGTCAAATCTTCAAACGCGAATTGCGGGTAAACGGGACGTCGGAAGGGGGTACCGTCAAAGGGAATGTGGTAGCCCCCGACACGATCTTCCTGATGGTGGAGCCAAATCTTCAAACGCGAATTGCGGGTGAACGGAACGTCAAAGGGAATGTGGTAGTCCCCGACACGATCTGTTATTGATGGTTGAGTCGAAAGTGGCTAATAGAATACTGATCTGCCACACAAAAATGCACTGAAGTCCCTTCGCCCTCAAACGTGTTGTTTCTTTTAATTAAACGTAATGAGCTCGTACAGTCTAGTTTAGGGATGGTTATTATGGAACTGTATTGATTCTTAAATAACTCCGGCTTCAGCAATGATATACACATACGCCTTATTTCCCTTGGAAATAGTTTTTAAGCTTAGACATTGTCTTTAACTAAACGTAGTGGATACACATAAGTTTAATTTAGGGGTGGTTATTCATGAATTGATAATTACAAGTATACATGTGCCACCCCCTGAATAAATGTAGCAAAATGTATAAGGTGGACTTCAATTTCTTCGAAATAAGTTAAATGTTTTCATAAATTCAGGTTCAATTTGGGGTTTTCGGTGCTTATTTATAAAATATACCGATAATTTGCATTTCAAACGATACACAATTACACACGTATTGAGCAGGCGCGTGTGCTGAGGACTGGTAGACATTTGTGGATAGGTATTTAAGGCACGCTGAAAATTTGTCAAGCAGTTTTCCTTACCCAAACACAGAATTGCAGACCTGGCCGAGGAGTAACGGGACTAAATCAATCCTTGTATTTTTAAAAGCAGGAATTTTTGTTGCAAAAAAGTTCTCTAGGCATTTCCAAATTTTTACAACTTTAAAATGAAGACAGATCATTTAGTGGGGCCCTACACTTCGCCTTCAAAATTTGAAAAAATGTGCCTCGAATATTACTAGTGTACCCTTACACATTCACCAACTTACCACTGAAAAAAAATGCGCCAGAAGAACCTGGCAAATGACTATAGGGCGTTTTAGATCAGCATACTTATAACAGAACATTAAAAATGACACTCCGGGAAGCACAAAACAACTCGTTCGAGCATTACCTAACATCATAACAACCCTCTCTGTAACAGACAACAAAAAAGCTATAGAGTATAGAGGCCACAACTCACAAGTACATGTACCACCAATCCGCATAGCTATCAGAGAATGGGCCAGATCGGATAAAGACAAGGTTGACGCGTTTGAAAATTGCTTAGCTGACACTTTCAGAACTGAACCGGAAATCGCAGACGAGGAAATAGAAAGCGACATCAACGAAAAAAGTTAGGCTCAATTCTAAATTTAAACCATCTGGGGACATACAAAATTTCATAAAACTCCGACCATCCGTTTAGGATTTCAGTCACAAACACACTTACAGGAGAATTTAGATTTGATCTGTGAGTGTAAATAATGTATGATGTATTAATGCGTCTCAGATTTACACGGATGTTTTTTTCAAATATGGTGCAATGTGCTGCCATGAAAAGAATATTTTAAGAATGCCCATGTCTATGTTTTATTTTTTTCTCAGGAACTATGATACCTATCGTCATAAAATTTCAGAAATATATTCCCGACACTGCTTACTAAACTTCAAATTAAGCAATTAAAAAAAGTTATTTATAGAGTGCAGCGGTTCCCTCTGGCGAAATACAGCTAATTCTTGTTCTTTTTTTAACGAAACACCATCGTTTCTTGAAGGGATCGTCAAAATGTCAACTGTATCGGACGACAATTGAGCCAGTCATTTCTGAAAAACGATACATTTGACGCATTAAACTTCTAGAGCCCACAACTCGCGTATTTTCGACCAATGATCGGTATTTGATCGCGGGACAGCGATCCCCTTTAGCCCTGAACATTTGAACCTTGAAATATTACAATTCAAATTTTTTGTTTTCTTTTGGCTATGAGTAATGATGTTAAAAGTATAGGTACTCTCTATATCGCAGCTTCCTATATTTCAAAGCAAAGGACAAAACAGCACACGGTTTGAAAATTGCCAGTTACCTTTGGTTAATATCCCGTATCACAAATAAATAATACCTGATTGCATTAACATTAGAGTAGGTAATAAAGTTCAAATTTGTGTACTTCGCACCGCTTGTACTCATTATTGGGACAACGCTTATCTCTTTATCACTAATTATTGGGCAAGATTCGGTTGATTGACTCTGTCCGCCTAATTACACTTGTACACAATGGAAAACCATTGACTTTACGCACTGATTTTGTTCCCCCTATGGCCTATATGATGGTAAATGATAATGTGTGTATTTCAGTGTAAATTCAGTGCAAAAATACCAGAATAGACCCTTACGTGCTCAACTTTGGCTTTGATCGACATCGTATAGCCTAACTTCAAATGAACAGCAAAATTCATGGCTTCAATTGGGGTTAGGTTCAACCTCAGCTCCTCTTCTTGCGGAATATAGGCCGTCAATTTACGAAATCGGTCGCTTCCGTCTCTTACACTGTCATTGATGCGTACGACACCTGAGCTGCCCCTTGTACTGCAGAGTTTCTATAAGTTCACGACGCTCAAGCCACCCCTAATACTTACACGTATCCCGCGAGTACATTGAGCAGAGTCGTCTTACCCGCGCCCGACGGTCCCATGATCGTCGAAAGCTCGCCGGATTTAAACACTCCGGAGACTCCATGAAGGATGCGCTTTTTTTCTGAAATACAAAAATCAAGTTTAGCCAGCAGTCAACAATCACGGCTGCACATGTTATGATGAGATAATTACGCTTGTTACAATTAATGGATGCAATTTTCATTTGATAATTACAGCATAATTAATTCATTAACGATGTAACCAGTATGCAAAGCCATAAATAATGCATTTGGTGTACTCGTTCTATGCGTATAGAATATTGTACAGGTTAGGAAATGGTTTGACGAGTAAATAATAATAAATGGTGAATGACGGCAATACATATGAGCCGAATCAATAAAATAATACCTACTTCATCTGTATTTATTGATTGAATTCTAATTACCAAACGAAAACCGATAGATGAGTTGAGATTAAGATTCAAACCACGTAATAATGAAATAAAAGCGAATTTTCCAATGAAAACATATTTCTAAGAATACTGTGGTATCAAAAACCACGCAGGTTTCGTGAAAAATATATGAGATCCTAAACAGGTTAAGTTACTTGAACCAATGGGTGCGTGGCAGAGAAATATAACTCATTATGCTTTATACTTTACGTTTAGGTAATAAGGTTTTAAGATCCCCATCTTCTTAGGGTGCTTTTAAACTGAGAACTAATCTAAAGATCTAAAGATGTGCGCGACTTCCGGGATAGTATCGTGTCAATGTTGAACAAAAAGACTTTTCGTTCAACATCGGCACGATCCTATTCCGGAAGACACAAGGTGTGCTGTGACCGGCAATCTTTCCTGGCGAGAGTTATATTTGAATACTCCCCTCATTCTTTGATTTTTGATCATACAAGCCACCATCGAAAGCCACTGTTTTTCTAACCATTGGGGAGAAGACACCAATTTGCCATGAAGCAGTTTGTAACTTGAATCCTCAGCTAAATTTTTGTTCAAAATGCCAAGCCTATATTTTCTATCCTTCTTAAAAAGCTAGCGGTTGCGTATTAAAAATCAGCTTTTAAAATTTGTTAGAAAGAGCCTAAAACCATTTCGTTTCGGTGCCTTGGTGATGGTAGTCTATTTCAATTTTTATTTAGGAAGTCAGTCAAACCGTTCGTTTGAGATAAATTTTGAGAAATCAATTTTGATTCAATAACTAGGGGAAAAAACCTCGGAAAAAACTGTTCCAAAAAAAACATTTGCCTTGAATCAGTTACAATTTGCATCTTTTCTAATGCAGCGAGCTCGTTTGACAATTGCAATTATCAGATATTGAATATAAATTAAATTTTGGATACGTATATTACGTATACGGAAAAGGAAAATAACGGGCCGGATTTTTGAAAAAAGAGCCGCAACGGTATCGAACTCTTTTTTTCAAAAAGCAACCTAAAATTTTTATTCGGGTATTCGAAAAACCTTATTTTTCTGTGTACAACCTACAAAAATTGTCCCAGGTTTTACTTAAAAAAATCTGAGAAAAAAAACGAGATTCCGATAAAATAAACCAAAAGCGTGTTTGAAGCTTGAATATGAAATATTTTCGAAAGCGCATATATTCATAGCCAGGTTCCTAAATTATAGTAGAGCAAAGATTGCGAAAGTATGTCACTTGCTCTACTATGCAATTTTAGATTTTAGATATTTCGTCCTAGCGCTAAGGGATGAAAAGATTAGAGATTAATACGACGAGGTTGATAATTTATTTTTGGATATTTTTCCTGTATTATTATAGGTTACAAAACGCATGTGTTTCACTTGGACCCTCTCACAAAACAAGAATCAATGCAGTGGGTCCATAAGGGCTCTCCAAACACACAAAATGTGAAAGCCCAGTCTTAGGCGACCATTTTTTGGGACTGTAAGGGCGTGTTGCTTATTGAGTAAAGGACCACGATTAATGGTTAGGTTTATGAAAGCTCGATTGAACACTTGAAGAAAGCATCAGGCAGTGCACCAAATTTGCGTTCTTATTTTTGCTCAGGGACATTTACGTTCGCAAACCAATGATTTTTTTGATTGAGTGAAACAGCTGCTGAGGATCAGGCAGCGCACCAAATTTGCGTTCTTATTTTTGGTCAGGCACATTTGCGTTCGGACCACAAAATTAATTGGACAATTTCAATAGCTAGTTCCATCGAAATCAAATCAAGCACCAAGAGAGTTCACTTTTACGAAATGTAAGTTGCAAATTAAATCAAATAATTCATAATTTTCAATTAGATTGTTCGATTGATAACATTATAATGCGAAAAATCAATAAAGAACGAACGCAAAATGTTTACAAATAAAATTGAACTAACATTGTTTATTAGCAAAGGTCATGAACAACTTTCCTTTGGATTCTACACATTTACGCGTTTTACCCGCCGGACACGCAATTTAAAGAAAGCATTACCTTGCCCTCAATTTCGCTTTTTTGTTATATTTACCAAGCTTTGACTCAATGGGACACGTGCTGATTAAAGGTTGCCGCTTATCATCGTGTGACACCTACTTAAAGGAAGTTGTTATCACTGGTGAGTAATTACCGGCATTGTTAATGCGAATGAGTAGGTTTATTTACAAAAGTTTGCGTATACTTATAAACTTTCTTTAATCTTCATCATTTTGGGAATTATGCAAATCTAAATAGCTTCCCCAGAAATCCCATTGTAAGCAAGCTTGTTTGCTGAACGATAGTGTTGACAATAAACGACACGACCTAGCTTCAATGACACCCACGAGATTCCGAAAATAAATGAGTATTATAAATTCGGGTATGGTTCGGTGTCTTGCAAAAGTTTTCCTACATTTTGCACGTCAATTTGATTAATTAACACATAGAAGAATGAATGGTACGGATCGCGATTGAGAATTAAAAAATGGAAAGCTGTTTGGTTATGGTTGATTAATAATGAATAAAGTGTAAACGTTTTTTGACCAATCATGCGGGTAAAAAATTAGAAATCAACACCTAACGAGAGTTCACTGTTGAAGGTGAAGGTTAAGACCATGCTCTTTTTGGCAAACGGTTTGTGCCAATGTACCCATTCAAATAACATATTATTGGTAATGTAATCTGTTGCTGATAATTTTCCTATTTATTATATGCTACGAAGGCATTTTTTTTTATTTTCTACCTGAAGGAAACCGTACAAAGCTTCCAAAATGTTGTTTCTCTACGTAAATACCATCTACACTATTTCCTAATGCATTTTTTAGATGAGTAGGGTGGCAGCGGTAATTCTGTGAAGCTACGGTTGGCGATAATGGCTTTAACACGGCGTCTATATAGACCTTTTAATTGTCGTGCATTTATTGGCCATGAATTGGGTCTTTTGGTTAAGGTTAAGGGCCTTCCTCAAGCGTTTAATCGTGCTTCCATAAACTGCACTATTAATCGTGGTCTCTTTACAATGTATTCATTAATCAAAACGTTCTCATATACTCCCAAAAGATTGTCGCCATCAATTTTCCTGACGGAGACTGGGTTCTTATCTTTTACGGAGAGCTTTAATGAGTACACCGCCTGTGACAATCCGCAAAAAATAATTGTCGTCGTTCGCCAACCGTCCAATTACTCCTCCTGACTCCTGACAATTTTTTTCCTCGCCAGTTTCTAGTCTGGCGTAAGGAGTCAGAGAATCTAGTTGGGGGAAAAAATTATTAATGGAAATCAGTAATTCCGGAACTGGACCATTTGGGCTATACTGACATTAAATTTACTAAAAGTTTGGCAAGGTTTGAAAAAACCAATCATGCCGTTTAAAACAAAGGGATAACTTCCCGATAAAACAGAAACACAAAGAAAGCTCAAATATTTACACTGAAACAAGCTCATTGAATAACTCATTTCAGAAATCTATTCGCATTAGTTTGTCATAAAGTAATCGATTTGCGGTGAACATCCAGCATAAAGTCCTCGTCAATACTCAATTTAAACCTTAAAAAACAATTAAAGTTATTATATACCAATTGAAATACTTGATATTACCAGTACGTGCGGAACCTAACCAAATTGCAAATTGTAAAATAATTATCTTCAAAATAAGTCATAAAGATTTTTTGTTGGGCGAAGGTTGTCAACGAAAAAAAGTTAAGACTATTATTATAATTGCTTTATAAAATAATAAAAACTATAAGTCGTTTTTGATTTTACGCAAATACGTTACATAATCGGTTAATACAATACTTAAAAATGACGAAAATTTGGTACTTTCCAAAACCACCTTATTTTTATATGACATACTACCTAGTTCATAGATAAACAAAATCGCATTGAGTAAACATTCTTTACTCGAAACTATCTAGATGACGAATTTGATATATTATTGTGCAACGCAAATCTGGCAAAAAAGTGTTGTGAATGGGGGTTGAAACGATCGAAACCTTTTTTTGATTTTTAAATTGAAAACAACAAATCGAACGCGTTTATTTTATAACTTTTTGACAAATTAACAATCCCAGGTAACAACATTTTATAATAATCATTAATATGCAGTAGGCATAATAGTGGAAGCGAGAGTTCGCGAACCATCCGACAAACCCGTTTTCCACAAAGCCAGACAATTATCAAATGATGTTTTCTTAGCAGTCAATTAAAGAAAGTACCGTTTTGGCAGGCATCTCGCGGCTCCGTCATCATCCCTTAAATTTTTGAAAATGAAAAAAAAAATTTTATTCTACTCTAAGGCTACAATTGTACTACGTTGTAATTTAGATATGTTTAGGTTTAGTGTAAGAAACATAGACAACCAATTATGAGGGTTGCAAATATGTGCCAGATATTAGCAAAGTTGTCATCGGGATATTAGGTAATTTATAACTTGCTCCCACAAGGCTCAGATTTTGAGGGAACATTCTTTCAATTGTTTAAAGTGTATGAATGTACCTATATATGTATGTAAACAGCTAAAATTTTCTAGCGGCTGCAGATATCTGACAGACGTGTATATAATAGTTTTGTTTATTAATTAATAAACAAAGATAAATAGCATGACGCTCGATGGGAATACGAGCCCAACAAACGTGTACCTACGAGTTCTAGTGTCAGACAGGATATGATATATTGTGAAGATATCTAAAGTAACCAAAACCTCAAAAAATTAACAACTATTACGGCCTTTGAAGTGGAAACTAATTTCCCCATACCCAAAAAGACTATAAGTAACCTTTTTCTCCAGTTTTGTATCTACTGCCTTATCACAAAAGCATGAAGTGGAGCTTTTCCTGTAGGTACGCTCTAGATTTCCCATCACTGAAGTCAAAAACACAACCTATTCCTTCTAAAGGTAGTTAATGGCTTACTGATTTCGCTTCTGAAACCCCGAAACTTCATTATTTAACATTTTTCTATTCGTTCATATCCAAAATTCAAAAATTCCATTGTCTCTTAAAAATTTTGTTTGTTCGTATGCTTAGGTAAATGACCTCCATTAACTTAGCCCCCCCACCAACCGTAAAAAAAATCCAACACATTCTAAAAATTAGTGCTAAATATGTGCTAATTTGTTACCGTATTCAAAATTTTGTTGCTCAAATAAAACGGCCGTTTTTAAAAAAATTAGTGGGTGGGGCCAGCTTAATATAAACTGGACCCACCCAAAAAAAAAAAGATTGCGTGCAAAAATTGGGCGAATGTCACGCAGAAATTGTTGCTAATTTGTTGCTGTAAAGTAACAATAACTATGACATGCAATTCGCAAATAAAAGTGGTTTATTCTTGTACCGAAGGTTATTACATTATACATTAAGGGTTACTTTAAAGGGCCAACACCATTAAATGATTTGAGTTACAAAAGGATTCGTTAGAAGATCAATAACTATTATATTAATGATTTTCAGAAAATTAAATCAAAAGTAATGTTTACTTTCTGACAGCGCTACAACATTATTCGCCATGAGCACGTCAACCGACTGGAAGGCACAATTCAAATTTAATCACCTAAATATTTCGTTTCTAAAGTAGTTATTACCTACAATTGTTCATTCCATTGTATTTAACAATAGTTAATGTAAATCCGAATTGGTTGCTGACTATAAACAATAAAAAATAGGTGAGAATGATACCGCTCGTAGACCGAGAGTATTTTCTCTTTTAATGTGCACAAATAATTTGTTGCTCAAGTTGTTATTACCTACAATTGTTTATTGTATTGTATTTAACAATAATTAATGTAAATGCGAATTTGTTGCTAACTATAAACAATAAAAAATAGGTGAAAATGGCACCGCTCGTAGACCGAGAATATTTTCTCTTTTAATGTGCACAAATAATTTGTTGCTCAAGTTGTTATTACCTACAATTGTTCATTGTATTGTATTTAACAATAATTAATGTAAATGCGAATTTGTTGCTGACTATAAACAATAAAAAATAGGTAAGAATGATACCCCACGTAGACCGAGAGTATTTTCTCTTTTAATGTGCACAAATAATTTGTTGCTCAAGTTGTTATTACCTACAATTGTTCATTGTATTGTATTTAACAATAATTAATGTAAATGCGAATTTGTTGCTGACTATAAACAATAAAAAATAGGTAAGAATTATACCGCTCGTAGACGGAGAGTATTTTCTCTTTTAATGTGCACAAATAATTTGTTGCTCAAGTTGTTATTACCTACAATTGTTTATTGTATTGTATTTAACAATAATTAATGTAAATGCGAATTTGTTGCTAACTATAAACAATAAAAAATAGGTGAAAATGGCACCGCTCGTAGACCGAGAATATTTTCTCTTTTAATGTGCACAAATAATTTGTTGCTCAAGTTGTTATTACCTACAATTGTTCATTGTATTGTATTTAACAATAATTAATGTAAATGCGAATTTGTTGCTGACTATAAACAATAAAAAATAGGTAAGAATGATACCCCACGTAGACCGAGAGTATTTTCTCTTTTAATGTGCACAAATAATTTGTTGCTCAATTCGTTATTACTTACATACTACAGGGTAATGAATAATTTTAGTAACAACAAATGAAAAATGTGCCTTGGGATAAACAGGGACAATAAGGTGCAATTCTGGGAAAGTTATAAAATACAGTTCAACGATTCGAAAAAGGGCAAGTTGGGTTGTAAAACTACGTTCAAAATTCTTGGGAATGGTAAAGTAGGATAAATGCTGATTGACAGAAAGGGATTAGATTCGCCGAAACTAAGTTGTAAAAATCTCGTAAATATCTATGTCTTTAAAAATATCCAAAAAGTCACGTGCGCGGTATCAGAGAAAAATACTTTCTGTCTACGGGCGGAGCCATTTTCGCCTATTTTTTTATTGTTTATAGTCAGTAACAAATTTGGTTTTGCATTAACTATTGTTAAATACAATGGAATGAACAATTGTAGGTAATAACTACTTTAGAAACAAAATATTTAGGTGATTCAATTTGAATTGTGCGTTCCAGTCGGTTGACGTGCTCATGGCGAATAATGTTGTAGCGCTGTCAGAGAGTAATTATTACTTTTGATTTAATTTTCTGAAAATCATTAATATAATAGTTATTGATCTTCTAACGAATCCTTTTGTAACTCAAATCATTTAATGGTGTTAGCCCTTTAAAGTAACCCTTAATGTATAATGTAATAACCTTCGGTACAAGAATAAACCACTTTTCTTTGCGAATTGAATGTCATAGTTATTGTTACTTTACAGCAACAAATTAGCAACAAATTTCTGCGTGACATTCGCCCGATTTTTTCCACCCAATCTTTTTTTTTTTGGGTGGGTCCAGTTTATATTAAGCTGGCCCACTAATTTTTTAAAAAACGGCCGTTTTATTTGAGCAACAAAATTTTGAATACGGTAACAAATTAGCACATATTTAGAACTAATTTTTAGAATAAGATAGATTTTTTTACCGTTGGTGGGGGGGGGGGGGCAAGTTAATGGAGATGGTCAAATGGTTGATTTTCATGGTTCTTTTTACTTTTTTCATTATTCCGTTTATATAAAAAAGTGGTCTAATTGATTTCTTCCCAAAGGCCAAGAAATTTTGATGATCTTTTATAGAATTTTCCTAAGAATTTAGTTTAGGGTCTCCCCTTGAACCGTTCTCCTTTGATTGTTTCAATATTGAAAAACTGTACAGTACAGATACTGATTGAAAATGCAGATCCCGTTACTGCACAATTTGGTTTTAACATTTAAAATCGGTTTATTAGAGGCACCCTTCAGCCAAAGTTGTAAAAACCTGTTTAATGTTTGCCAGGTCTACTAACGGGACACTGTAGTAGATCTGTTAATTAGAAGAATGCTTAAAAATGTTCCTCCCAGGCCAATTTTGAACTTGATATGTGAAGGGACGGAGATGTCAAACGGCATTTCTTATTTTTTGGCCTATATTTCCAATTTACAACCAATCAAAATCCGTAGCTACCTATCGCATGTGAAGGGGGTATGAAAAGTTCTAGACTATTTAGAATTCGGAGGTTTGCAGAAATGTAATTTTGAAAATAAAACAAATTCCAATTGAAATTCTACTGTAATAACCAAAGTGGTGGATAAATCTGATTTATTAGCAAGACAGTAGTAAATATTTCTTGTCTCTTAAGGTATTATTTAGAAAAGTATACAAATTACTTGGTAAATTCCAGATTTATCTCAGTTTTTATCTTTTTGCATTCATTCGTCCACCAGCGATTCAACCATCGATTGATCATTTCAACAACCGTTGTCGCATATGCAAATGCAAACTGATTTCGCTATTTATTCTACACAATTCCGATTAGTAGGTAATTAATTGTATCGCCTCTATCAACAATGTCTATATTTACTACAATTATCTCCTTTCCAAACTAGATTCTAATTAAACAATACGTTTTGCTCATTCGTCACGCCCATACCCTTTGAACTTTGATATTGGTATGTTTTTATCTAACCCAATCGATCTATTGTATATTGTGAATTTTTGCGTTAATGATAATATCATTTGTTGTGCATTCAGGAAAGTTTATTAAAAAAAAGCGCTTGATTGAGAAACTATGTCTAAAACTGGTAGCAAAATGGATGGCGGTTGATACAGATATTGGCTTCAGTCTCGGTATCCTTGGACAGTTCTTTCGTAGCTGGAAAATTAGAAGTGGACGGCCAATTTAGCTACATAATTAGCAGGCAAAAACTCTTTTGCAAAAGTAGAAAAGGTATTACCACCTTCTTAGAATAAACAATTAAAGTAATTTTCCCAGATAAATTAAATAGTTTTGTTTGAACGCGCTTTTTTGTGTTGAATAACAAATGTCATTTTACAAGATCTAATCCCAACGAACAAAAAATATATTACGTACTGCTCTAGCAATTTGATGGTGTTACAAAGTTAAATAATTACATTTTTTAATTGAATATGTAAAAACCTGGTTTCTTAGAATTACCTACGTTTGGAAAATTTGTCATATTAACGAGTGGGTCCTGAAATGACCTTTACATTATGCAAAATTAAAAAAAAATGTAAACAATATGCCGAGAGTCGGTTAAAATTGAGCTAAATACATACCTCTTGGAAAGCTTGTCATGGACCAACTCCAAGTGTCGTAGGTAATCTCATCGAAGTGCAGATTTGCCGGCGGACGTTTCGGAAAGGTGTGCTTCTTAAACTGCTGTTGATTCGCGTGAAAATTGTAATTATTATTATGCACCTCTAAATGATTTTCAAAATTCGGCATGTACGTATTTTTCGCCTCGCACAAATCACCATTAGACGTCAACGAAGTCATTGAAGTACTTTGGCAGCACTTCAAAGGACTCGCACTTCTAATTTTGTCCTCCTTCGCGTTCATTTTTTTTAAAAATCGAGAACACTATTGTTTTAAATCACCATCCGCAATTCTAACTCGCCAAACTGAAACGGTAGTAAGTGTCCGCGCGACTCATTCAGTGTATTTATAATCAAGAGGGGGACCTGAGATTAAACTAGACGATCAGCTGAGAAGGTTCCACTTAGTTTATAATGATAATGCCGATAAAAAACTGAATTTGATTCATGCTATGAGCCACAACCTTCACGGTGAAAGTAGCATTAAAAGTGAAATGATTTTTTTCACAACACGTAATTAGCAACCTAACCTTATCGCACGAGTGCCTTTTTGTAGTCGTTTAAACTTCCACATCTAATTTATTTAGCGAAAGGTAAATAACTGTTTGACCCAAGAGTTTTGCTGCTGTAAACATGTTGACAAAATAATGTAATTGTTCAAGTGGTAACGTACTTGTTTGCCAATTAGTAAGAGTGACATTCTTTCGCTTACAGTAATCACCTCCGCTACTCCGAAGAAGCAGAAATCATAGGAAATTAAAGGGGATGTAAAAAAACACTGCAGCTGTTATTTTTGTAATTAGGCGGTATAAATCAAATGTTAATGCTTTTATTGCGAAATGGCACCAAATTTATTTTAATTATATATTCTTTAAGTGCTTTATCCCGGAAAAAACAATACTTTATAATTCATATTTTTGATGTAATCAAAGAAACAATGAAAGTGCCTCTCGTACTCCATTCAGAATGTAATCCAGTGATACGGAAATATGCAGTCCGTTTAATTAACTTTGTGCCTACGATGCGAAGGTGTAGGAAGTCAAGGTTTAATTCCATATTTTCGTTAATTTCCGGTTTCATGTCGAAACGTATAGAATCCAAATTTAAAATGGGAATTTTATTTTTTTAAAAAGCAGTGGCGAAGACCGTATTCCTTGGCATACGATTTTCAGTATAGGGATATTTTAGACATTCGGAAACACGACTTTTAATTCGGCTCATATTCAATAGACCTGATCCTTGAACTCGTAGAAATTTATTGGCGAAGGTTTGACATGGCTGTTTCTTTTCGCTCTAACTCGAGAGGAACAGACAAGCAGACAGACGTACGGAGAAAACCATCACATAAGGAGAATTTCTTTAGAAAAATTCCCTTAATATAGAAACAGAAGTATCAATTTTAGATACGAGGAGAATATCCTTCACAATAAAGTTAGGTACAAATAAGGCAAATACATTGGGAGTTTAGAGGTACATTTAGTTCCCTAAAAGGTGAAGACCAGGGTGAAGACGCATCAAACTAGTTGATTGCGTGGGAAACTATGAAAGTAAAAAGTTATTGTTTTTGTTTAAATAGTTAAGAATGCTATGCGTATGCAAATTACCGTTAAGGCTGTGACAAGATATAAGGGATCACGGGAAGTGTGTAGAAAAGCAGTTTTTAACGCAGGGCTCACACACGCATGTTGTAAATTCGTGCTTTGTTATTGGCCCCTAATTAGCGCCAAATTAGCATCTAATGGTGTGGACTTTGTTAACAAGAAAGCGATTTTTCGGGCGACTTTCTCCTCGGTGCTGCGAGGATATGGGGTTCTGTTGATTGTTATTTTGTTTCTTGCCCCGATGAAGCCCCTAATGAATGTGCCTTTATTTTATAGTGGGCGGAGTGTTAGCTAATTAACTACTCTCCCCACTCAACGCACTATACAATCACAAACAGCCATGCCTTACCTAGGATTCGAAGGACCCTTGTAGCCAAAGTTAGGGCTATTAACGTAAACTCATCTCAGCTACGCATTTAAATCGTGTTTTCTCTGGAACTACTGATCGGATTTGAAAAATAAAAACAGAATGAACATTCCTTTCGAATTTTTAACGTTTACCTTTACCACTCCTTCCAATTTAAACTTTTTAGGGTGAAATTCACCTCTTCCTCAGGGTTGAAGTTGCGTAAATAATGTTATTTAATTTGGATGTCCCCCTCAAAACTAAAATTTACATGTTCGAACGTTTAATCGAGCCTTTTAATTCCCTTTATCCAAACGGGAGGCCTGGGTCAGTTGCACCACCGCTCTCTGGAACATAACTGTACAATACAGGCGAATTAACATTATTAGTAAAGCTTTACTAGAGCAAGATCGGTGTTGTTTTTAAAAAATTATAGTGTCGAGATTCGGATTACTTATATTACGGCAGGGGAGTACCACAAGGATCAGTGTTGGGCCCACTTTTATTTATAACTTATAGTTCTTTTTTTTCAAATGCCATTAGACACTGTAAATCTCATTTCCATTGCCGATGATACGCGAATATATTTGTCATTCTCTGCAGAGCAAGTCAACATTGCATGTGATCTAATTAGTGAAGATCTGCAATTAATCAACAAAATCTCTGAAGTCCATAAATTGAAATTAAATGTATCAAAAAGACAGGCAATACTATTCGGTAAGGACCAGATTAGATTAAAGCAATACCTTTTATTAATATTAAGTCCGAATGCCCACAAGATTTTGCTAAATGATTCGGTAAAAATTAAAAGTGCACATATATGGAATTATGGAGAGCATGTCATTAAAAATCTTAATATTGCGTATAGCAGAGGTAGCCAAACTTTTGAATCGTTTGATCTACTCCACACAGGTAAGATCTTTCGCGATCTACCAGCTACTTCTACTATGAAAAAGTTTTCGTGTAGGTACTTTAATCCGTCGCATTTCTGATTTTGGTGGAAAATTGTTTACCTACTTTTTTGAGTAGACTCAAAAAATGTTTCTTCAGGTTATTACTTTTTTACCTCCCGCTCATTAGTAAAGGGAGATACGTACTGCATTGGGGTTAAAAATGACTCCCCCACTTTTTTGACGGAAATAAATGTTTTGGAGCACCAGTATTGCAACAACATTTGGTACACATTTTGTCGTATCATGAACAAAAAGTGCAGTCAACTTTAAACTTTATAATTTAAGTTATAGACACCCTTCAAATCAGAGTGAAACTTTCAGTAATAGAAATGAATGCAAATCAACAATTGATTAACGAAAATTCGTGCTATGCTGTTTGCGCTGTGGTAGAAACAATCGAACATAATTACTGCAATAAGCTCAAATGCAATCTTTGCCAATGACAAGGACATATCGAAAAGGTCTGTATAAACTTCTTCTGAATACAAATGAAAATTGAAGAAAATCATTGCCAAATGCTCAATTACAAGAAAATCAACAAGAAATTGAAACCTTTGGTATAACATTGTCGAGATTTTTCGGAATGATACGGAGCAATACTACTCAACAGTCTTCATTGAAGGAACATCTCAAGAATTCCTAGGCCAGATAACACTATTACCCGAAAAAGCGTTAAAAAGAACATTCAGTTCAAAACTAAATAAAACATCGCTACTTTTTAGAACATATAACAATTACATGTCAACGAATGATAAATGATTTTCTTTTTCTACTAATAATTGCGAGAATAATTGTCCCCACCACTTGACATAATACACGAACGCGAAGCCCGAGAGCCACAAAGCATCAAGGTAAAAATATTTACTTGAAATTTTGATCAAACTAATAGCAATAGCTATTCTACAAAAAATTCTTCATTCTGTTTTTACTTTTTTCAGTTTGTAATTTTACAGGTAAAGCTACCAATAACTTTGGTTTTTATGAAATTTCATAAAACAAGGAACTTATACAAAGATAACTACATCAAACTAGCCAAAAAAATTCCAGACTCCAATCCTAATAACTAAACATAAGAAGCGAGTTATTAATTACGATTAGGTACAAGTAGAGAAGTGAGTTAGCACTGTAGCTTATGACGCATTACTAACACTTGCCCTTCGAGCTGCGTACACGATTTTATCAGCGCATAAGTTTTTATTCTAATGTTGTGTGAATTAGAGGTAATAAAAAGGTAATAAATAACATCATAGAGCCTTGGAAAAATATTAAAATGAAGAAGCATTTGTATACCTACTAACATGCACATGAATTAGTTAGAATAGAGCGATTGTCTAATAGGAAAATGGAAACCTATTCTGATCCATCCGTTAGGAAACCGTCATTGCATTCGATTATAAAAACGATTGAGTTCATGATAACCTCTTGAATTTGGAGATTTCAATCAGGTAATGTAGTCTGCAATTCGATGAAAATACACCATTAGAAAAATAATTTGTGCGATAGTGCTGCACCGCAACAAAAAGATCTTCGTTAACAATTTTTTCAATTATCTATTGACCAATTAGGCCAATTAGGCTAAGTATAAGATAATTCGGAGAAAACAAGAGGTGATGTATATTTTAAAATATACTAAGAGCTGACCTTTGTTTTGATTATCTACCTCGCAATTTTGGTAAAATGTCAAAAGGTTAAGAATTTCCTGCTTAGACTACTTACACATGCATTTTATTTTCACTTAACCCTGGCCAACAACTGGATAGATTATGCTCGTAAATATTACGCTATTATCCTCGCTATTATCCATCAATGTACCAATGAACTAATGGGCGATTAAAAAAGGATTGACGTCGAGTCGCCTTTGAAAATTCAAGTTAAATATGATTCCCCATGCAAATAAAAAAATTCCAAAAGTGGCTCGACAGCAACTCTTTTTTTGATCGCATAGTACAATTACTCCGTTAGGTATTAATGCGCAATTATGACATTGTACACGAGTGCGCCATCCTGTTGAAACCGTTGTCAACTTTTGTTTTTTTTTGTGTATGTACTTTTTTTACTGACCATATAAAAAATAAAGTGGATATTTCTCCGAAAAGAAACGTTGTATCGAAAATCTTTTAACGCCATCTTGTAGAGCTGAAAAAGTGGTTTTTATTTTTTTGAGAAACAAAAATAATCATTTCGCTTTTTCTGGCATATCTTCCGAAGTAATCGGAATTTTCTGGTTTTCTTTAAAGCATCATAATAACCGAGATAATAACTCTTCAATTAGGTACGTATCTTCTCTCTAATTTGACAATGGTCTTCTATGGTTTCAGAGATCCCCATGCCAAGACATTATTCAATCAGGCATTTAGTGATAAGTGATAACAGACTCGTTAGCAAAAACCCGAAAAAATGTTCTTCTCATCCTGTAAAAATTCTGATTGCTAGGGCTGAATTAATATTCATCTAAATACAAGAGTTCGGTCTCTTTGAATGGCTCTAAATTCGAGAGGGAAATAGCAAATTCGCACTTTTCGGTCGTTATTTGACGTATGGTTGAAGAACGCTTTATAGTATCCCCTGTGCGTATTTGTCTTTAATAAGTTTGTATAATTAATTGTTGCTATTAAATTGAGATGTGACTTGCACACCTGAAGTGCTTAGGTGGAGAAAATGATTCCGTTGTCAGTGAATTTTCTTTTTCATCTTAAACGTCTCTCCTACTTCTTCTTCTGATATATCCTTACCTTCATTTGTGTAAAACCACCGAAACATGAAATATTTGCTAGAATATTTTTCTAAACGTGTGAAGAATCGGGATTCGTGATTCGTAATCGTGCTCTAATTATAATGTAGGTACCTATTTGAATCCTGGTGCCGAATAAACTTAACGAAAGACTTGAATCTGTAAAAGCATGTCATTGGGATAAGACTGGGAGTGGAAGAGAAGCACACCATTTCCCGCACGTGTTAATGCGGTTGGTGAAAAAAATCCTAGGAAAATGCCAATGAACCATTAGGAATGCTTCAAGTGTAAGCGAAAAGGCCATGTAGCTTGAAAATATAGAATTGTTCAATAAAAGGCAGCAAAGGCTGCGTGAATACTTTTGAAATTGATACAATGAAATCCAAAAGTTGGTGCCTAGATAGCGGAGCTACCTCACATATGCGCAACCGGTCTGAGAATTTTGCATCACGCCGCAGATAATTGCTCAACGGAAATTATAAGTTCAGGGACGGCTAAACTTGTTGGCGATACGTTTGGTAAGAAAACAACAGCAGTAATTTTTTCTAATGCTCTGCTCGTACCAGAACTAAGAACGAATCTTATTTCAGTTAACAAAATTACCGATCGAGAACTTGACATTTATTTATATATTAAATGATGATGATGATGACGTACATAAGGAAGGAATAGATGTTCTTTAAAGAGCCTGAATGGAAATGCTCCATACGAAATATGGACGGGAAAGGTGCCCAACTTAAAGTCACCTCGAAGTGTTTGGTTCCAAGGTGGTTCACCTAGAAAGTAAACTAGGAAAGGGCTAGCTCGGACCGAGAGGACAGGAAGGAATATTTCTCGGATACGTACACCAATGTAAAGGTTACATAATTTGGTCAGTTGAAGAAAACAGGATTATTATTAGTCGAGATGTTAGATTTACCGACAAGGGTAATTCTATTGCCAAATCTCTCGATGGGGGAGATGTTCGAATGTATTTTATTAATGCATGATTGATTTTGAGGAATGAGTGTGTTTATATAACATTATTGTGTGATGCTTTAATCAAGAGAGTAATTGTCAGTAGTAAATCACATTAATCATATAGAATTTGTACTGTACTATCGTTCTCATTTTTCAGTAGATTTTCTCGATGTAATCTAAAAGCTTTGCGCCAACGTTTAAGGTGACAAGTCGCCTAATGAAGTTACTAATGTGTTGATTGATTTGGGACTTAGTTCTCTTAATAGCTTAATTTACGATTGACAAGAAAAAAATTTCCGATCAATCTGGGATAAGGAGTTTTCCGATTAACAACTAGGATTTACATAAATTAAACGCATGACTAATTTTAAACATTTAGACGCACATTTTATCCCACAACCAAGATGTGTACTTTCTCTATTGATATTCGCTGATGGCGACAGCTTCGCACTCGAAACTCGTCCGTTTCATTAAAGTCAAATTGTAGTTTATTCTTGATTTGCAATTGAAAATAAGTTTCCCAAAGAACCAATCGTTGTTTCGAAAAAAAGAGACTAGAAAAATGGAGTACTTTGATTACACGACATGTGGAGATTCAAGGTATCAAAACGCGCTTTTTTGTCGTTAATTTATTCCTTACACATTCGTGTATACGGTCCAGGAACCGACTTGCACATTATACTCTCCCTTTCAGTGTCAATAAAATTGCTAGACAGTTTCTCAAAGCCTCTGCAGATATTTTAATTAACCATAACATTCCTTAGGAAGGCTAGATTGATATTATAGCTTTAATTATGAGTGTACAAAAAAAACCACGAAGTAATATTTATTAGTATATAATATAATAATAAATAATATATAAATAAATAAATATTACTTCTTGGTTCTTTTTTGTATACCCATAACTTCACACCGAACCAGAAAAATGGAGAACTTTACACCTATTATACCTTTAACTTTAATTATGAGTAATTAAATTATATAAGTTTTAAATTTGAATAAATTTATCATTGGGGTTCATTATCAATGGCAACTAAGACATTAAGCAGTTTTTTTTGAATTTCCTGACATATTATATAATTAAAGTAACACCAAACCGCAGTTAGTGAAGTTCCTGTCATGCCTCCATAATTCTGCCATTGAGCTTTTATCCTAATTTGTTGGAAGAATTCAATTTCAATGTAAAATAAACTGTACTGGTACTGCGAAGTTGATAAAAAACCAAAAAGTCCTTCAACTACTCAAAAAATTTATTTCTGTGCACTAATCACTCGCCTGAGCAATCTAATCATCTTTCCGTGAAGGTAGTGGCACTGGCAAAATCCAGAAATTGCATAAAGTGCACTGAACAGAAATAGGCACCTTCACCTTAAAATGCCCTACATTTATTGTTTATTAATAACAAAGTGTAAAATTATTCTGGCGCTTAACGCCGACATTCAGGATCAAGGATGTGCAAACAATTATTTTTCTAGCAATACCTCAGTTAATAATAATTACTTAACAACACGCAACCTAGGTACACATTATGGATTATAGCATTATCAAAAGAACGTTTAATTAACACTTCGCGCATTTCGGTTTAAAATCCACTCTGCACTGAGCTGACCTACGTTCGAACAGCTGAAATGACTGAAACTGAAACGTGATCGCTCAATACCCAAGCTACCCTTCTATCCTACCGCCACCTTTCGACTTGCCGTTGTAGACGTTATTTATTTATAGGTGGTGAAAGCTTTTTGGGAGGTTATTTTCGAGACTCGTTTCAGATTCGCATCCAAGGCATTAGATGGTAATTCGTACAGCACTTTTCAAATTGCATAGTCACTTGAAGCATGCGTAATATCCCTTCGTTAAAGCTTGCCTGCGATTAGGGTTGTTCATTGTTGAGAAAACAACTTTCTATAACGGTCCAGCACGCCCTTTTTTGTCAAATGAATTGAAATGCCAATACAATAGTGCTCTGTTGGTGCTTCTTGAGATATAGGGTATCCAGTGCGTGCCAGCGCTATTCTTTCTTGGGAGCACTAGAAAAGTTCACATGTCAATTGCATGAGTTATGTATCCCTCGTTCTCTTTTTTTTAAGACAGACAATCCCTTGAATCTCATTGGTTGGCATGGTCCCAGGTTACTCCACACTTTAAAACATTTATTTAATTTTTTTCCAATGACAAGAAAACACAGGAAAAGGGAATTTTGGTAATAAGTTTTGATGCAGGATTGTTGCCGATTCCAAAGTATTGCATTGCAATTTTCGGCGACCAAAGATTCCCAAATCGCTTAGAAAAGAAAGTCTATAGATTTTCTTGCAGAAGATACGTAGCATGATATACCCGTGTCAACTTTAAATAATAATAAATCTAATAAGATGAAGGAGGTGAAAAACAAAACTTTCATCCGAATGTCGAAATCAGACTTAGTGTAAACAAAAAACGGAAAAAGACAATGAAAATTCTAGCACTTTAATTTTAATTACACGTTAACTTATTCGGCATAATGAAGAATATCAAGGTTTCTCAAGCTCTCGACGGTGTTCTTCACTAATTAGTTGATGTGGCCTGTTAATTTTGTCTAAAAACTTGTTAGATATTTGCGTTAAGTACCCAGACGACGCGGTTGGGTGGTAAAGAACCGTAAAGAGAAAAAAAATTTCCGATGTGTGTATTTATTTATTTATTAATTTATTGTTCCTCTTGTTTTAGGCCCTCAACAGGCTTACGCCCAATTACAGAGTGACCCGCATAACGCTTTTTTTTGAAGTGTGGTTAGACCAAGACATTTTTTTTAAAGAATCTGAAAAGCTGAAAAGCTTTTTTAGCTCTTCCTTTTATGTCTATGAATATATGTACCAAATTTGGTTCAGCCGTTAGCTGTTAGCCAAGGCTGCTCAATCGGCTGCTCAATGCAATCGGATGAATGGTTTAGGCAGGCATTATTAGAGACCAAGAAATCTACCAGAAGCGTTGTTGTATACAGGACACCGTTTTAGATGTTTCACTTATGGATTTATGGCTTAAAAATTTATAGCACGGCCCAAACTAATGGTTTGCATTGTCTTGGAAAGATTAAACTTTGGCCCACTCTTGTGCAATTGTAACTTTTTTCACCACCCGCACGTTAGTAAGCTCCCACTGTACTTTCGTTTCCGGTTAAACGGCCGAATCGATTGGAACCAAATTTGGTACACATATTCTTACACATAAAAAGAGAGCTGAAAAGTAAAGCGCGCTTGCGCAGGTGTGGTATCTGTGGAAACCACAGCAAATTTTTCTATTTTTTACCATTCGCGAAGGGCGACTGTCCGGAGTTACAGAACAAAGCGACGACGAACTCGGAATTTTACATCGATCCCTTTCTTGCACTCCTAAAAGCAAATTCACGCGACTCTGCATATATGTAAAGTTTTATGACCATGTAAACTAAAAATAATAAAAAATGCAAAAATGCATTTTCACCACCCCAGCTGCCTCTTTCTTTCTATTAAACCGTCAAATATATTCTATACGCCACCACAGAACTCTAATCTTCAGTCTACGTACGATTTTTTCTGAAACGTTAGGTGAGCGGTGTTTCAATCCGGGGGGGGGGGGAGTACGGGAGGGATTATCGCTTTTCAAGGCTCGCGAGGATCGAAAATTTTACCCCTCCCTGAACGGAAGGTTTCGACTACCCTTCCACGATGTGGAATCGATGTCCTTGCGATAATTACAGATTACGTGTCATCACACGTATGGAAGATGGAAAAGTTTAAACAAACACGTTTTCAAAAAGTGCCTCCGAAACGTCCCCCAAACTTCCTTGTTGCCCCCTGCGCTTTTTGGAAGCGCTGTCGAATTAAGATTACATGCGATGCCGTGGAGAACAGGGGTGGGATGCGATTTCGCGCGTTCGAAGCGAAGCGTCGCGATGTCCCCGAAACGCCGCCGGTCCTTATTTTTTCCGAGCCAAAGCCATTTAACCCCCGAAAAGCGCGTGTAAAACGAGATTCTCATTTTTTATGACGATGCTTTCCATGTCTACTCCAGACTTTTCAGTTGATTGTTGCCACTTTTTGTTGAAATAAATCATTTTTATTTGAGAGTTTGGTGTGACATGGAAATCGGCAAAATTTTTAATGCAAAATAAAGCACTAACGATTAGACTTTTTTACTGGGTCTATTTCTAACCTAAGGGCATGCTACTGGTTTCCAGCGGAGGTCTTAAGCAATTAAGTTTACTAAAAGGCATAACTAACATACAGCATTTAATGGTATAGAAAAGCTCCGCAGTTATTGAGTGATTTATGTCTCTCCGATTCTTAGCTATAGCCACTCAATTATCTCCAAAATGAGTTTGAGGTTCAGCGGTATCAAGGCTCAGATCAGTTATACTTTTGGGAATCATGCAACTACAACACTTATTTGTGGAATGTATACTCCCATGATCTATAGCTTACCCTTTTACATGAATTCGAAAGCAATAAAACAGCAAGAGGAAGATCAGGCCCTCGTTAACAATTAGAAGGTAAAGGCTGAGTGTTTGCCATTGAACTACACGGAAGTCCGGTTCGATTTGCACAATTTAACGCGACCAACAGCAATCTCGCAAAAATATCGCATATTATAAACATCTACCATGATTATCTTGCATAATTAGTAACTTTTTGCGCGCTACTGAAGTAAAAACAAAAAGAACATCATTTTTGTTTCAATAAAAACTGCTTCAAATTATGTAAACCTTCAATTTGGAACAAACAAGGCAAGATGTAGGTCTTTCAAACTATTGCATTAGTATAAATTAGCATTTGATTTGATCACAGACGAGCACTGCGATTTATGAACATTAAATTATAGACCCTCACGAAAATTAATTACTAATTCGCTATATAAAAAATCCCTGCTATGTTTATTGTAATAGATTAATCTGAAATTTTAATTAAGGCCATTAAGAAAGAAAAGAAAATACCAACCTACACAATGGAATTCTCTAAAATAAAGTATTTTCCGACAACACAATTTTTAGTAAGTAACCCAAAGACGACAACACCTTTTTTTCCATATTGAGACGAAACGGGAGTGGTCGGTCAGAAAGTTTATGTCCCGCGTTTTCGAAAACTATCCGAAAATAGCTCTGTCTCATTTTACATAATTTACCAGTGCATAAGTACGTAATGTAGTCAGTTGCACATTAAGTTACCACACATTCGAATTTTCGGCAGTATTAAGAAACGCACTTATGACAAAATCGTGTGCCAACTTCGTTTTATTATTGATTAATCATTGGAATTTTTAAATAAATAATTCATTCTGTTAGTTAGGAATTACGATTTAATGAATGTGTGAAAAGGACGTCATCAATATTATGCAAGTTACCCATTATTAGACACTACTTTCAGTCATAATAAAAACAAAAACATGGAACAAATTTTAATAAGCAAGGACCTTTTCAGATTATGACAAATCACGATTTTTAGGGGTTTTTAGGAGAGGAATGTTTAATGGGCTCGTTACGTAGCATGGCAAATGTATAGTACAACAGGTGATTCCTATAGTACCTGCCACCGTTTGGGAGCGTGTAGGTGGTGCGTAGGGGAGTATTTTGATATAGGACACTTGGGGTCGGAAATCTAAAATAAGGGTGCCAGAGCCAAATTTACCTTCCGGAATTTCGCGCCTGTAGGTAGGCAACCCAACCGGCCGGCGGTGCACACGGAGCGATCTCAGGCGGCGATGTGTGGCTGACACTTGATCAGAATTTTGTTTAAACCCACGAAATCCCGTCTGCAACGACGCGTATCAAGTGAATAAACACTATGGCACGTTTTACTAACACGGAATACGCGGACATGCACTTCATGTACGGATTGGCAAATGGTAACGCACGAGCTGCACGACGAGCGTACGCTGAGCGGTATCCAAACCGTCAGTTACCCTGCAGACAGGTCTTTCAAGAAGTTCACTTCCGACTGTGCGAGACAGGGCAATTGCAGGTAAGCTGACGGAGGCTTAACTTTACACACAGATTCGTGATGCACATCGATACTTGGGTCATTTAAGCACCCATTTCGAAAAGTTTGTTTACACCGACCTCCTCCTATTTCGCAGCCCACTAGCGCCCGTGATCGCGATCGCCCGTTGGTAAATGCCTTAGAGGAGGATGTGTTGGAACGTTTCGAGGCAAACCCGCGTACTAGCACTCGACTTGTAGCAGATCAGGTGGGTTGTAGTCAACACACAGTGTGGAACATCGCCAACAACAACAACTTACACCCTATAAGTTTAAGAAAGTGCAAGAGTTACGGCCGGGTGACCATGAAAGGAGGCTGGAATTCTGCAACTTAGTCGTCCAGGAGGAAGAAGCTAATCCGAACTTTCTGAGGAGCGTGCTAGTTACTGACGAGAAAGGATTCTCAAGAGAGGGGACCTTCAATCCTCGTAACAGCCACTACTGGGCGGAGCACAATCCTCATGAAACGTTTACGCGAGGATACCAGGACAAGTTTTCTTTAAACGTTTGGGCTGGCATCCTGGGGGACAACCTACTGGGGCCTTACATCCTCCCTCCGCGTCTAAATGCCCATAATTACCTGATTTTCCTGCGCGAGGTGCTACCAGAACTTTTAATGGATGTTCCAGTGAACT